TTTTTGTATAAATTTGCTTATATAATCAGAAGATAATAAGTAAAATCCATGCGCAAAAAAAAAATTTTTTTTGTTGACCGGTGTAATTGAAATGTATTAGGAACATTTATGACATCACTCGTTTAATATCGAAACAACCAGTAATTTAATTAGATAATTGAGAAATAATTGGATTCAGGTCTAATTGAAGTATTTTAGAAAAGTGCTTTAGAATTTTTAGTATTTAAAAAATGGTAAGGGACGAAACAAATAGGCCCAAGTTTATGGTGTCATAGTGGATATTATTTAGCAATTTTCTTTTTACATAATTTTATCGCACATGTTGTTTTTGAGAAATAATGTATTAATTCAATGATAGCTTTACTAAAGTAGGTTTTAATAAAAAAATACTGTTCATCACCAATATTTGTTAAATTTAATGCTAGCAGGAGTTTTCAATACAGATTGTGCCGATCCGCAGCCTCCCAACATCCTGAAACTGATTACGCGCGCCCGCGTGTTCCCGAAAACGAGCACGTGTTTTGTTTGTGTTGTCATTACATTAATTAAAGGCACATGTTTACCGTTTCAATAGGACAACTCTTAAATAAGTCAAGCACGACTGAACTTTTAGCACTTTAATCCGTTTATATCGGAGTAGAGCAAATTGGCCCTCAGATAATTTGAATCCCTCGGTAATTCTTCAAAAAGGGTACACGGTACTAATCCTGTGGTGCACTTTTCGCTGTATCCCTAAAATTACGCCAACATTTACTGCCGAATTACTATAATTAAAGAATCGATTTATATCTGTCCGACCCTTTCTATTTATGGTTTTGCTAGAGACAAGAATGTGGCTTCATGAATTCATACCATCATACACGTTAATTTAATATTCGAAATACATAACTAACNTAACTAACTGTATGAAAGGGAAACTCGGCACATTGCGTAAAAAAACAAACATAATAAATCTCAAGGCTCCGACATGGACTTCAATTTCACCCGTCGCAAAAAATAGTCTTCTTATTTCTACCCTTCGAATTTTGCTTAAAAGCATCCACGGCGAAACTAGATTTGGGGCCGTCCTAAAACTTAATTGACCTCTTTTATTTCACGTCAAATAATAGAAAATCGGGAATAACCCGGAGCGAGATTCCGATGATTGATATAGAGAGGTGAGTTTTTGTATTGGCCCAAATAAATCATCTTCATCTCAATTAATGTCTCCTGCGATACTCTTCGGATAGAATAGGCGTTTTTACTCTGATTGATAACACTGCTGCAATGTACTTCTTATAAGAGTTTTTTAACTGGATCGAAAATGATTCGTAATTTGTGACTCTATACAACTATGTCTACGCTTAACATGTATCCTGTGTTACAGTTAATTTGATTATAAATAATAGCATATTTTACATAAATAAAGAAATTAATTAAGGTTAAGATTACCTACCGCTCTTGTGCTATTATTCTTAAAATAAATCTAAACTACTAGTTCACAGAAAACTTTGTTTTTAAAATAATTACGAAGGTAAATAAGGTATTATTATTTGGTTGTAGGTATTTACTTAGCATAAAACCACGAACTGTAAAACTCACTAAAGCCATGACATAACATCCTTTCTATTATACATTTACGAGTATAACGGCTTTCTTGAAACAAAAGTAAAAATCCACGAGGGGTGTCAAATTGATGCATGAGTTCATGTTTTTCTTTGTGCCGAGCCATCAATCTTAGAGATCTATTAACGTCGCCCTTAGCTCCGCTAATTATCCGAGCAAGCTCCCGGCTATCCCCCGGGATTGTAGGCGTACACATAAACAACGTCATATTACATTGCCTGGGACTTCTTTTAGGTATAGGTATATTGTTAACGCGATACAAAAAGGTGCACAATATTGTTTAACGTTTTATTGAGATCACGAGTATCTTTTAACCTAAACAATAATCAACATTATTTCCAATATAACTTTGAATACAATAGGAACTTTTGTGCAATACTTTTTCAGGCCTTTTTATGCAATGTAATATTTTGGTACGTAACAAAATATAAGCTTAAAAGTTTATCCGTCGGTGTCTCATAGGATAGCGTGCGGTCGGGTTTTTTACAAAAGCGTCTCCATGTAGAAGATCACTTAAATTGAGAGTGCTTGAATAAAGTAGAAGGATTATTCTTTGTGAGAGAATATTATCTTATTAGTAATTTACATAATCGTGATTTATATTGTTTTAAAAGTTCCACAATGTTATCTCGATTTTAAAACATTTAAAAAAATATGTAGATATTAATGTAATTGTAACGGATAACGCGACGGTAGTTCAACAAACTAAACAATGTGGCATCTTACGGTTACGTAGCTATAATTTATGCTATTTTGCAACTAAAGTACTTAAATGTATTCTGAACTCTGTTACGTCTTGTTTGAATAGTGTAATTGGTACTAGCGTTTCTATTCATGAATAAATAAATAAATAAAAAATCTGTTGTCTGTTTTCATTGACATCAATGCAGAGACTTGTCCTGCCCCCTTAGACAAAACGCACTTTTTGATCGAATCGAAAATCGAATCTGTCAAAACTCCATACAAAAAAGGGGCTTTTCGACCACTTTTCGACTGGTTTGCGATTATAATTTGCACTTTGTCTAGACCCACTGTTTTGATGATATCAATGACAGTTAAATTAGGTACGTCATCAGTCTTCTATTTCCGCTCCCTAGTGTAATTTTATATAAGGGAAAATTTAATATAAAATGAGGCAAAATTAAACACGTCCAACTTTAGGATTACGCAGTCCTTTGAAGTGTTAATGAAGCCTCACAAACGGCAACTAGGTTATGTAGTTTTGAAATGTGATCTTGTGATATACTCGTATCGCGTTGATTGCGTGTGTATTACCTATTTGCTTTGTGAAAACAATATCTATCTCGCTGCTTTAGTACAACAATAAATAGGTTAATTATTGATTACTATCTCACCCGCGCCTTTATTTACCTTCTCTTTTATTCATCATCAAAATTTTGTTTGAGCATAAGCTTTTTTAGGATAGGTTGAAATGAAACGGGGGAGGAGTCACTTTCTCATTTGCAATATTAGTATGGATGTTATAAATAACAGTATGTTTGGCTTTAGTTAAGCCGCATAGTTATTTATCGCTTCATTAGTTTTATCATAATTTTACCATTCAGTTTCAAAATGCTGAGTTACTTGCGTAAACCTGACTGCTGCGTCACCTTGCTTCACGAAAAGTAAGTAATCAGTGCTGGACCGTGACCGGTCCGACTGGACAAAGGTCTACTTTTGGTATTGCTAGCCTTTGACTATGAATTTACAGGCTATAAAGATACCGACTTAACTACCATGAATAGCTTAAAAATGCAATAACCAAAAAAATTTACTTCACATTAATATCTGTGGTTCCAATATCTTTAACATGAACTTAATAAAATACGAGTATCCTTACACCAAAACACCAATATTATGTTCAAAATAGCCGAAAATTGTCAACCATTTTTTACGTTAAGTATCTCGATCACGACACGAGCATGACTTTCTTGCGAATAATGCTTGTTCCACTGAAAGCTTTGAAACTTGTTTATGGAACATTCTAGCAAAGGAATTTTTCATTGAATGGAAGCTTTCAGCGTAAGTTCCAGTACTCACTTTTACAGGTCTAGAAACTGAGAATATATTAAACCACATACCTTTACAAATGCGAAGACGGTAGTCTTCATTTTTGGAAATATTCGGGATTTGTAAACCTGTAATTATTTACATTTGACAAATTACTTTCTAACAAACTTAGTCTTTCAAAATCATTATCTGCTACATAGCAATAGTTAGTCAATAATTAATTGGTAAACCAAATAAAGGTACATAAACTTAAGTAAAGGTATGTAACATTGAGTGAGGCCTATGTCAGCAGTGGACGTCCTGTGGCTAAAATGATAATGACGTTACCTCATAATTTGTACAATTATTGTTATAGTTAGAATTCATTTATTATTTAGAATAGGTACTTTGAATTTTCAAAATCGTAACACGTTAAGGCTGACCCCACAGGCTAACAGCCACAACTAAGTAGAGTCACTAATTGATGGCAGACTTAAAAGTCGTATTATGCGGTAAAACATTTAATTATTTTATAACATGTGTCTCAAAACATTAAACGCATAATTTATAGAGCATTTAATGAAATAATTCAGTGTTCCTATCTGCGAGAATTAGAAGCTGCAATATTCCAGCGTAAGTGTCACTCGGAGATGTTATCGGGCCTTCCTTTGTGCTCACCGGCGCCACTGCCGTAACCTAAATCACCACAATTAACTTACTAAACAAATCCGAGAGAATATTTCGGAATTGTCCAAGGAGTTTTAAGAACACCATCTTCTGAGATAATACTATAAGTAAGTAAGAACTAGCTTCAGTCCGCGACTTGTTCATTTCTAAAAGTCTTTGTGTGTCCATCGGGGATTCTGCATTGGCAATAAACGTATCTCGGTAAAGCTCCAGCTAAGTAAGCACGTTTCAAATGTAAGTACTTATACTAAAACATACCAGAGTGTATATGTAACACATTTGCTGGTAAATAAATGAATATTCTTTTGGACATAATACACTGCGCCATCTAACCTAACAATAGGTATACCATTTTCCGAAATCTGGTTTTATGTACTACATGATATTCATCTATACTTATAATAAATCTGTAGAGAGGTCAATTCTGTACATGAAATATATTTTCAAAATAACTATCAGGGGGTGATTAGTGATCGATACTGATGCCAAAAATGCAATCAGTAAAATTTTTGTCTGTCTGTCTGTCTGTCTGTCTGTCTGTATGTTCCTTATAGAAACAAAAACTACTCGACGGATTTTAACGAAACTTGGTACAATTATTCTTCATACTCCTGGGCAGGTTATAGGATACTTAGGAATTCCCACGGGAACGGGCATTAGCGGGAAAATCCTTTTGTATGAAAAATCTAAACCGCTTAAGTTAGACGCTTGAAATTTGGTTATTCATATTTCTGAAGAAAATGCATATGTTTATACATACCAACTAAATGAGCATTATTATCCACAACTTCTTCCAAATTAATTTTAATTTGAATGTCCACTTTTTCTTCATCATCCACTTTCTCTGTCTCTTCCTTGTTTTCATGGTTCAAGACAGTCATGCCATCTTCGTGGAATAACACACCTTCTTTGCAACCAGGTGGGATCGTAAGAATATCTGGAAAATATAAGGTAGTAAAACTAAATGTGTCCATTAATTTTTAGGTCACTAATAAGAACTACCTATTTAGGCGGTTATCACACTGCGCCGCGCTTCGCCGCGGGAGGTGTGATTTCATATAAAAAATCCTGCGCGCAGACGCGTTGTCAGTGTGAAGTGCCGCGCGTGTTTTCTATACAAACTGAGGTACTTGCATACAATGATTAAATCTGTCGTCCCGCGTACCGCGGCGGAGCGCGGCGCAGTGTGATTACCGCCTTAGGTACATTTCATATTTCAATTTTTATATGAATAGGTATTAGCTTAAAAAAATCTATCAGTCTTTTATCGTGCAGTATGATACAAGTATAAAAAAAAATTGTCACACAGGAAAGTATGTATAAAGCATACCTTCTCCCAAAAACTTTCCTGGCTCATCATTCTCCAAATCAATATCAATCTTTTCAAATTGTGCGACTTCCTTGAGCATTCTGTCAAGTTCTTCCTCAAATCCCGCAGGTAAGAAGGGACTTTGAGTCGTGGTCCCCCTGGTGGCCAGACTGGGAGGCAGGGGGGCCCGTGACATGGACATGCTATCTTCATCATCCTCTACTGGTATACTCACTTCTTCAACACCAACTATTTCACCTGTTATTGGGTCTCGGACCACCTGAATTATTCAAATGGATTGTTAGCTTTGATAGATTGAACACACTTTATTATACACCACTCAAGACAAGAAAATAATTGTACAAAAGATACTAAATAATTGACATTATATTAAATAATTTATGTCTGATTCAATTTGTTATGTATCACCTGCGTCATTGAGTTAATGGAGAATTTATTTGTTTTCTAAGTGCTTTCTATCTTGGACTATTTTTTAATCAGTTTTAGCATAAATAAAATTGCATACACTGGCAAAAATGCCGACATGTTTACCTCGAGGGTCGTGTCAGGTCCAATTTCGTCATCATCTATCGTAAACAGAGAATTAACATCGGACTTGCGATGCCAATGGGTCTGCGACCTCTCCCACTTATGAATCGAAAGCCTCTCAGGTTTCAAAAGGTATCCTTTTACTCTTTCATTTAAATCATCGAAGATTGGAGGAACCTGCAACATATTGCTTAGTAAATTAAAAAATCTATTGAATAAAATACAACAAATAACTATCATACTAATACCTTAAAATCTGCGAATTCATCGTCTGTATCTAAAGACATTTCAATATGAATTTTAGAATATAAATCTGTTTTTATATCTTGTTTATTTCTGTAAAGATTTTTAGGTTATTCCGGAAACCCCCGTTAACAAATAACAATATGTCAAATAGATAAGGGAAGGGACATCTCACTTAGACGATTGAATTGCGATTATTAAAATCGATACTATGTTACGATATATTAATAGTCACACTATGTTCGAGATAGCACTCATGCCATTAATTAGGATAATAATATGATTTATGACTATCATTGTTAATCGTATTACTATCGTTAATATTTTTGTTTTAGTTTAATATTGACACAAACAATATTTTTGGTTTTATTATTGAGTGAGTAAATTTATTATTTCTTTAGGTTATTTTTTGTGGACTGGTACAGTCGAAAGCATGCTTGAATGAACGCACATACGTAGATTTCAACCATTTAGGCGGCCAAAACCCTGTTTTCCAAAAACAATCTATTGAAAAATAAACCATGTACGCGGGTAGTACACACTTCCAGTAGTACGAGAGCCCACGACCAAAACCATATTGTGTCATAGCAATACGGCAAAAACCCTATAAAATCGTTAGATTGTATGATTCTGAACCCGACTAGGTGTGTAGTANGTCGTGGGCTCTCGTACTACAGGAATACCAAGGTACCTTTTTCAATGTTCAACGAGCGCAAATCTACTCTCTAAAGTAGTCTGAATGCGATAGTTCGCTTAACGTGTATGTATTTGTTTTCGGGCGCTCTTAAACTTACAACTTTTGTAAATTGCATATTTATTTTCAAAACCATTGTTTTCGAGTGACCGTGGTGGATTGCGATAATTAAGGATAGAGCCTATGTTTTTCAACAGTAATTTACTTAGTTTTTGTTTTCCTAAATATATTTAAAAATTGTCAAAGATAGCTGTATTAGAAATGAGATTTTTTTGTATTTTTTATTTTAAAGTGGTCGTTTAATTAACTTCAGGGTCCGTCCGAGCAATAATTTCTTTATTTTTTAATACTTTACATATTGTACTTTAAATCTGCAAAAAAGTTTGCCGCGCTTTTTTAAATTAACAGCATTTGAAGACTTGGAGAAAAAATTTAGCAAAATATCATTTTATTGCTACTTTGTATTAAATCCATTTACTTTTTATTTTAGGCCTGTCTGATGCCTCGGGTACTAAAGTAGTTACTCGGAAATACTTATATGACCAGATATAAAGGCAAAATTTACCAAGTTTCAGTGAAAAACTTGATTTTTATGAAGATTTTCTTTTGAGTCGTTATGGAGACACAGAAAATGCTAAAAAGAGTTTGAAGCAAAGTTATTCTTATGTGAAAAGCTAATTTAAGTAGAGATGGATGAAAGCCAATAAACATGAAGAAGTGTTTTTAAAAACAAACAAGCAATTACTTCATCTAAAGTCACTTTTAATATTTTCTTCTAAGGATTTTTTATTAAGTATGAAATTTTACACGAGTTAAACGATTATTACTCTTGAACTAACTGATCTATCTTAACCGTCATAGGTTTCCTTAAAATTTCATAAAAAGCACTATTAATATGAATTTTTCCAGATTTTTCAAACCAACAGTTTAGTTTTTAGAGGGGGGAGCGCCCTTTTCGAACGAAAATTATCACTTTAAAGTTTAAAATTTTGCAAACGGATTCCTAAATCAAAAAATAGTCTTAGAAACCACCAAGTCATTTTAAATTACCTATCCAACGATACCACACACGATGGGGTATCAATAATAATAATGAAACTTTTTAATATTTCGTTCGAGCGCGAGCCGCCGGCCGACCACCTGGAGAAGGAGCGCCTCAAGCGGCTGCGCGGCGCCTCCTAAGCCCTGATATTTTTTTAAATTGCTATATTTAAGTGAAAAAATGTTTTATTATTAACAATAGTAAAAGAAATCAGTCAAAAATAGTTTATTTTAATTTCATTTTGTACTTATAACTAATTTCAAGCAAAAAATATTTTTGGCCGCCTAAATCATCGAAATCTACGTATGTGGAACGTTTCGTTGTAAAATTAAAATACTACCATGTCATTGTTCTCTTTATTATTCCATAATTATAACGCCATTCCATTATATCGATATTTTATCTGGATTTTATATCTTTATTATTTATCGTGGATTACTTAAAAATTGTAAATTAATAAAAATCGTTAAGGTTCATTACGATTAGTTCGATTTCATAAATCGAATTAAACTATGAACGTGCACATCCCTAAAAGGCATCAGCTGTCTTGTCAAGATGACAGCTGTTTGACAGCATCGAGAATCAGCTGTGCATTCTGCACAATATGAAGCTACAGATAAAAATGGAGGCCACACTCCGAATACCTACTTGAAGCACAAACTAAGTATCACTATCTCGCTCTCTGTGGGCAGACTCGCTCTTTCTAAATAAACAAAAAATATAAAATTGCTCAAATTCAATGAAACCAATGAAAAATCTTTATTTCTTGACATAGGTATCATTAAAAATGATAAGTGTAATTAGTGGTAAAACGTTTTAGGAAGAAATTACTGTAAAAATGTGAAAAATGTTTACAATGATCCAATGTCGGAAATCACGAAATAAACACTTACGCGTGGAATCTTATGTCACTTCCAGGACACCACGTACTACCGCAACCACGCACTACAAAATTTTGCACCAATTCTTGTGATAAAACAATGATTATTTTCTGTAAACAATCTCAAACGAAATTAACTGCTTAATAAACAAAATAGTAAACAACCGCCATGATGGGCCGGATTGGGCCGATGTTGCCACATGGTACCGATTACACAGGAATTGGGATTGTAATTCCCTGATTCGCCAACACATTAAGCCTAAATGGCCGACAATTTTGTGATTTTTTATTTAATTAGGTAATCTTAGTTTCAAATATTAATTATTTATTTGTTTAACTTCTGATTTGGTTAGTGAATTGGCTATTTCGAAGAATTTACAAGGAGATTTAAATCAGAAGGTAGCAATACTACAGTTCACACTAAAAAGAAAGGTAGGGCCGCAGAGAGCGAGATAGATATAAGTATAAAGGCACTGGGTCTCTATCAGAAGGAACTCTAGGGGTGGAATCTCCATAGGCGTGGGTTAACGGGCAAGGAGATAATATCTTGGATGGTTGACAATCACTTTTCCTACAATTTAACGTTCCACCAAACTCAACACGCTTTCAAAGATATTAGATAACCATAAGATAACCTCGCAGCCGCCTGCTCACACTTGACATGACACAACTGATTGACAGTTATCTTTTTCTGCGCATCAGTCGGGTGTTACGTTTAGGAATCACAAACCTTCCGCTCTACAGATTTATACAGATAACATAATATTAAGATTGGTACTATTAATCATCAATAATAATTGCAGCATCTGTGTCCGGCGCCGACAAGTAGGTATTTGACTCAAGTTTTTGTTCCAACTCTGCCCTCCATTTTTATCTTTAGCTTCATGATTCTGCATGAGCCACTATTGCGCGTTGCTGAGATTTTGCTATGCATTTTTATAAGGAGGTGAATGAATAATCAGCCCCCCTAGACAAAACGCACTTTTTGATCGAATCGAAAATCGAATCCGTCAAAACTCCATACAAAAAAGGGGCTTTTCGACCACTTTTCGACTGGTTTGCGATTATAATTTGCACTTTGTCTAGACCTTAGATTAAGTCTAGACCCACTGGATCTAACTGGATCCAAATAAATCTAATTACAAAAAATGGATAATGAGGCTGTCGTGCGTGCCGCTACTAGACGACGGTTTGTGCCACGACTGCCACGGTAGTGGCAGGCTGGCAGCAGTGCAGGCAGTGCAGCGCATTGTTTTGGGTGATGCGGGTCCCGGCTTCAGTTCGGCATTAGGATTAGGGAAACCAATGACTTCCAAACTTGTATGGGTTTTGGCCAGGGTCTTATGGGACATGGGAGATACAGAACAGATTTTTTAGCTACCAGTAGGGTGAGTGAGGGTAAAAGTTTGTTACATAATCTTTTCAACGCTAAAGTCAGAATAACACTAGGTATAATAGGAATAGGTCTATTTCTTAATTCACTACTTTATTACCTATTTAACGAAATCTCGGGAAAAAGTTGACAAGCAATAATATTATTACATCCTCAGGAAATTAACTACGTTGTAAAATATTAAAAACAGTAAGATAAAATGATTTATAAACAATAAAAAGCTTGTAATGAGGTCCCTTTCTATTTTATGTTTCCGTTTATTTCAACTACAATAACATGCTTATTTATTATACTCATGAGCTTGAAGTTTCACTCCAAATCAGAAGTGAGGTTCTATTTTATTTAATCTCTTTTTAATTAGTCCTACCTACGAATACGAATGATATAATTAGATCTCATTTAGACATTCACTAGCTATTTATATAAATATTTTAATCGTCTTTCTTCGTACCACCTTCTTACGAGTAGGTATATTCATCACTTCAGCATTAGGTACATTTAACTTGCTATTTATTTAAAATTTTAAATAATTTAATCGTCTTTCTTCGTACCAACTTCTTACTTATTTCATCACATCAGCAATAATGTAGGATTCTAATGATGAAGGATTTTTTCAAATCAGTCCTATTGTTTCGGTTCGGAGCCTATTCAATATCATCATCATCATCATCATTTCAGCCAAATGACGTCCACTGCTGGACAAAGGCCTCCCCCAAAGTTTTCCATAATGAACGGTCCTGCGCTGCCCGCATCCAGGCTCTTCCCGCGACCTTTACCAGATCGTCGGTCCACCTAGTAGGAGGCCTGCCCAATATAAACAATGAAATCTTATTCCTCTTCATACTATTAGTGTAGTAGATTGTAAGTAAGTAAGACGTTTTACCAGTCAATATAAACTAGAAAACATGATACAAACTATACCAATTCAGGATTTAGTCAAGATCGCAGGAAAGTATTTTAACGAAGGCGGAAAATGCGTCGTGTGCAAAAATTACACTACATACAGGGTGTCCCAAAAACAATGGATAACCCTGTAACCATCGATAGGCCTCGCCATGATCTCCCTAACGTCCATTTTTGACCCCAGTAAAAATATCACCGTTTTCAAGATTTTTAGGTTTTTGTGCATTTTTAGAAAATTGCCATCTGCAATTACTTTTTCTCATGCCATTTCTACAAATGAGGATACTTTTCAATCTAGTTTTTTTCCTTATCACAAGGGATAGTTAGGCTATCATAAGAAAAGATTAAAGTTTAACAAACTAGTTTAAAAGTATGAAAATTTTAAGATATTGCAGAGAAGAAGGAAAAATTAATTCATTGTCTTGCACTTTTGATCAGCCATCGTGTAAAAAAAATGTAGGAAGACCATCGTGCCCATTACCTTAAAAACTTCCTTGGTTAATTGAGATTCTGAAAAGGTATCACAAGCCTATGTATTTTGTATTATTTTTATCTTATGGCTACTTGAATAGCAACTAGTATGAAAACTGCAAAAATGAGTTTTTCTCGTAATAGTTAAACTAGGACTGCATAGTGGCATTAAATACAAATGGATAATTTTTAGCGTAGGAATTTAGATAAAGCAACATTTTATCATCATCATCGTCATCATTTCAGCCGTAGGACGTCCACTGCTGAACATAGGCCTGTACCCTAATGATTTTCATAATGACCGCTTGGTAGCGGCCTGCATACAGCACCTTCCTGCTTATCTTTATGAGGTCGTCGGTCCACTTTGTAGGTGGACGTCCTACGATGCGCTCTCCGGTACGTAGCCTCCACTTGAACCCTGCTGCCTCAGTTCTGCGAACTACTGTGCCTTGCCCTTTGCTACTNAGTCAGGGCTAACCACAAATCCCTTTCCCCTTGCAAAATGGTATAAATAACATTGGTATGCACGCAAGATTATTTTGTGTTTATATCTGATCCTTATCAAATAACGCTAGCTTTGGCTTAGCTAGGGTTTTTTTTAGGCAGGGTAACTATCCACAAATATAAAACAAGTATTCTAAGGTAAAACCTGTAGCTATGCCAATGGACACCATTCATTTCACTTAAACCAAAATTACGTCAAAGTCCGGAGTTTTATAAAAAAAAAAATAACTGTGCCAAATAGTCTTGTATGCATACTATAAATTAAGCTTTATTCGATTAATGTACAATGAATTTGATAGCGATACCAACTCCCATAGTCACTTGGGCATTCTCCTTTCATCAAAATCGGTTGCGAGGTTTAAGCGGGAAAGCGTAACAGACAGACAGACAGACAGACAGACAGAGTTACTTTCGCATTTATAATATTAGTTGGGATTGACACAAACAATATTTTTGGTTTTATTATTGAGTAAGTAAATTTATTATTTCTTTAGGTTATTTTTTGTGGATTGCTACAGTCGCCAGCATGCTTGAATGAACGTTTCGTTGTAAAATTAAAATACTACCATGTCATTGTTTTCTTTATTATTCCATAATTATAACGCCATTCCATTATATCGATATTTTATATGGATTTTATATCTTTATTATTTATCGTGGATTACTTAAAAATTGTAAATTAATAAAAATCGTTAAGGTTCATTACGATTAGTTCGATTCTATAAATCGGATTAAACTATGAACCTGTACATCCCTAACAGGCATCAGCTGTCTTGTCAAGATGACAGCTGTTTGACAGCATCGAGAATCAGCTGTAGATTCTGCATGAGCCACTATTGCGCTTTGCTGAGATTTTGCTCATGCATTTTAATAAGGAGGTGAATAATCAGGATCTAACTGGATCCAAATAAAATATGCACTTACAGAAAAAAAAAGTAAGTCTCGTTAACTTGTTATATACCTACCTATATACGCAAATAAATCTAATTACAAAAAATGGATAATGAGGCTGTCGTTCTTGCCGCTACTAGACCACGGTTTGTGCTACGGTGGTGGCAGTGCAGCGCATTGTTTTGGATGATGCAGGTCCCGCCGGGATGATGCGGGTCCCGTCTTCAGTTCCGCATTAGGATTAGGGAAACCAATGACTTCCAAACTTGTATGGGTTTTGGCCAGGCCCTGGCCGCCAGGGTCTTATGGGACATGGGACATACAGAACAGATGGTTTAGCTACCAGTAGGGTGAGTGAGGGTAAAAGTTTGTTACTATAATCTTTTCAACGCTAAAGTCAGAATAACACTAGGTATAATAGATCTATTTCTTAATTCACTACTTACCTATTTAACGAAATCTCGGGAAAAAGTTGACAAGCAATAATATTATTACATCCTCAGGAAATTACCTACGTTGTAAAATATTAAAAACAGTAAGATAAAATGATTTATAAATGAGGTCCCTTTCTATTTTATGTTTCCGTTTATTTCAACTACAATAACATGCTTATTTATTATACTCATGAGCTTGAAGTTTCACTCCAAATCAGAAGTGAGGTTCTATTTTATTTAATCTCTCTTTAATTAGACCTACCTACGAATGATAATTAGATCTCATTTAGGTACATTAACTTGCTATTTATTTAAAATTTTAAATAATTTAATCGTCTTTCATCGTACCACCTACTTATTTCATCACATCAGCAATAATGTAGGATTCTAATGATGAAGGATTTATTCAAATCAGTCCTGTAGTTTCGGTTCGGAGCTTAGGCTCCGACCACAGGCCACACAACCTGTGGTCTGTGGCTGCGACTTATTAGTATTATTACTTAATTAATGTATTAGACAATCGAATCTTTTCCACTGTAGATTGTAAGTAGGTAAGAAGATGTTTCCGCTTATTTACCGGTCAATATACCTAAACCAGAAAACATGATGCAAACTACCAATTCAAGATTCAAGTCAAGATTGCAGGAAAATATTTTAACTAAGGCGGAAAATGCGTAGTGTGCAAAAATGACTACATATTCTAATTATTTCACACTAATTGAATTATGAATAAGAACAAAAAAATAATGCAAAAACTTCGGATTCCGGCTACGAATCTGCCACAATGCCTCGCATGTACTTACCATATAGTTTTTATTCGCAGCTATAATTAAAGGACATGTTTTTTGCCATCGATTCTTAAGAACTGCCTGAGATGCGAGTATGTGAGTCAGTGAGCCTTGACGGTCAAGGTTGTTTGGCAGGTCCCTACCAGCCCTGTCTCACACCAGTACCACTCATTCGCGAGTCGGCCCGCCGCGGTGCAAGCGTGCACATCATTAGACACCGAGCTTAATAACCAATTTTAATTCATTACATCATTATTTTTTACTATGGCCAATAACCTGTGGTCGTGTGCTGTTCTATTGTGTTTCCTCACCTTGACACTGGAAGTCAAAGATGGATTTGGCATGGTGGGTATTTCCATTCATTACTTGTTTTTATTTGGATTAATAAAGATACCTGACTCAAAATCATTCTTATACCTGAATGGAAGTAAACATTTTTTATTTTTTTGTTTTTGTTTGTATCGTTCGACTTGATACAAATAAAAACAAAATGCCATATTTTGTTTGAATGTAACGTTCATTCGGTAGTTATTTTTAAGAAAGATAGGGGTTGAAGAACAACGATTTGGAGTCAGATTATTAATTTACATTTCATTTTTAAACTAAAAAACAAATGATTATCAATTTTATTTCATTAACAAAGACCTCCTACTAATATTACCATACCTAGGTACTTACGAGTTAAATATTAGAATACTAAATTACATAATAACCTCTGGTTTAATCTGACATGCTTCCTACTATGTGATTACTGTCAAATTACCGTAATTATCTTAGCCAAAATTACATTTCATACTTAGTTACAATGATAACATGTTAGTATTAATTTGAAAAAATAGCAGTTTCCTATAAAGTAATTGGATTTGTGAAGAGATTACTATGTTAGTTAATTTATACGCCTATTTCTGTGGTCTGTAAACTCCTTACAAGTTGAGATTTAGAATAAGAAATCAAATGTTTTATGATAGTATTCTTGTAATAATTTACGAAGATCTCTAAACAATTGATCGTTTATGTGTCCCGTAGGTAGTTCATTAATGCTTTAAAGTTACTACATGTCATCTGTACTGGTTGATAGAAGAAAAATGCCTAGATCACGGAAAAAGACAATGACAATTAAGCTTTTTGTGATCATTGTTGTGATTGTTTCCAAGTGAAATTTTCTCCAATTAAAATGCGTTAATTTTATTACGTTAAAAAATGGAATTCTTCATTTTTCTTAAAAAGCGATTAAACACCTTATTAGTTTATCTATATTGCAAAAAGATTCTTTAAAATTTTTGAACCAACTAAAAAATGACATTCAAACGATATTGTAATTAATGAATTACGGTCATTAGGTCAAACATTTAGTTAGATAATAAAACGCGGACTTTACCTATGTATGCTAATGGGATTACTAATGTTTGGCCAAAAAACGTTTCCCAAATTATCACATTCTTTTTTCATTCATTCTTTTTATCGAAATTTCCAAATGATTCAATAACAATAGAGGTGATTCTTAAGGGTCACTGTTCTAACCTAACCTAACCTACTATTTTCTGCAATACCTACTTTCTGCAACCATACTATTTTCTGCAATCTCTTTGTTTTACATAAAATTCTCGTGAAAACCATGATCTGCCTTATGCTTTGATTTGTGGGTAACGGTGAGTAAGTATGTGAAGTGTCAATTTGACCAAACAAATTATTTGGGATATAATATTTGGCAAAATAAAACATTTGCTATATAAACATTTGCCAAGTAAAATTTTGCCAAATGATAATTTGACCAAATGAAATAGTTGCGAAAAGTGCAGTTGCTAAAAGTTCATTTGGGAAATGAAACTTTGGCGATAAGTTGTTTGCGAAGTGAAATTTGGCGAAAAGTAATTTGGCCAAACGGAAGGATACCATGCTAATGACACTAGAGCTGGAAATTGTGTGACCAGTAAAGTAACTTAACTTTATCTCATTGATTCATAATAACTAAATAACAGTATCTCAGTGAAGGATATTACCTACTTAAGTATTAAATAGCTGCATAATTTGAAAATTGTTTCTGCACGAGATTTAAGTGTATGGTAATGTAGAGATACTACCGGTAATCTTGACCCCTTACAGTATTCTAGCACCACTTAACTTTTAGTTGTTTATAAGATTTAGTTCAGTACAGGCACAGATAATATAATACTAGTTACAGGTATGAATACTGAGTTAAACCTCAGAACGATTAATGTGTACTCGTAGTCGTAGTAATTTTTCGTGCGAAAAAAATTTAAAATGAACATAGTGTGGGCTGTGTAAATTTACTCAATTTCGAGTTCCGTCCCGAGTCTGAGAAATAGTCGATCATAATCGGTTATAATGTGATTTTATTGGCTTATTATATTTTTTATGTTTTACCGATTATTGTCCATCGCAATGTAACAATAGGCAAGTGAAAGAGAAAACTTCAAACAGGCTGAAGTACACACCGGAACCATTTCTATACTTTACGCCCCGTAATCCGGGCAGACATCGCGTTCAATTTCGATAGATTATTGTGCGCGCGCGCGGAAAGCGAGCTAAGCTAGTTAGGGCTGCCTCTAAATAGGTAGGTCGGTACAACAACTATCAAAGCCTAAAAAGCTAGAAGCATAAATAGCTCGTGGAAAAGCTTAAATTGGGAGTAGAAAATCTAATATTTTCCTGGAATGTATCTTTCTTTCGTTTGAGGAAACTTTCCAGCCTTATTTCAGATTGTCTAATTCACTTCAGTCACGTCAAGCATCTAACTATCATGGGCATGGCATAGCGTGATCGAACGAGGTTCGAAAGCGCATTTATCGAATTTTACTTTTTTTTCGGATCAACTGAAAATTGCATCCAGAATCATGAAATTACCTACACACATGCTAAATTTTAAATAAAAAACTTGAAAAAGTCGAATTGCCTAAGGCGGGAATTGAAACATGCTTTCGCAAACTTCTCACCAACTCTACAAATGGGTTATCTTCAGTTTTCTTACCAAGTTATGTTTGAAAAAAAGACCCTGGTATTGATCAGCATGGCATTGGCAGCCCTATACGCGGTTGAAATGGTAGAAGCGGGAAGTCGCTTGCGCAGTTTCGCAACCAGTAAGGCGTAATGTCTCTCCATATTCGCGGAGGTTTCGGCGCGTGTCCATTCATATGATACGACACGATGACTCGTGTTTACATGCTATTTTAAAACTGCCTAGACGAACCATAGACATAAAAGCGTGAGATGAATGGTGTCACCAAAGTCTAACAATAATAAAGTTGCTCTACCTGATTTGCCTCGACTGTCCGCTCGTTCCTGAATGTGCCTATGTGATATTATTAAATGCTTTGAAACTAGCTACGTGCACTATACAAACTCAATACAAACAAAACATTTTGTACTCTCATCGTTACGAAATAGACCGACGAGAAGAGAAAAGTAGGAAGAGAAACTGTAATTTTAAGGAACAATGCATGATTTGCATCTAAAAACATACTTAAAATAAAAACAGCAAATAAGTTTAAAAAATTACCATAAATGACTATTATACTTATTTAGCTGACAACGGAGTAAGTAATTACTTAAACCCATTAACGTAGCTAGAAAGTATTTAGCAACAAGAACACTACATTACAATAACAAAACAGTTGATGTAACGCAGTGTGCACAACAGTGTGTGTGCAAAAGGGCATATCAGTGAGGGGATGTCATTAGTTTTTACCTTCCTGTAATTACATATGTAATTATTAAATTCAGCAGTGGACACCTACATTGCAGTGTGTCATGGACAAAAACAAATTGATGGCTGCAATCGCGAATTAATATTGTTCATGGGAAAACTGTCCATCCGATGGACCGGTGGACCTTGACTCCGTTTGGGACACCATTTTTGTAATAATTACATATTTATTGTGTACTTAATATGAATTGGTAATGTAATCTATAAAAGCGAGATGAAAACATAATACTTATGTGGGTACAATAAATACCTACTGCCCATCAGACTAAGCCATCAGATTGACTTTTAATCTAATCATCTTTCTCGGTTTATGGTTTAAGTTCAAAGTTTAGTTACCTAGGTGAAAACTATAAGCTATTAGGCTTTGATCAACTACATTGTACTTATCTATGCAATTTATGTATTTGTAAGCTGTTTATTTTCTGAGTAAAAAAAAATCCGAATAAGTTGATCTTAGCTAAAATAATTTTAAGATAAGTAATGTTTTCGTCATTGGGTTTTCCTATTACAGAATGCCTACGTCATTCAGTTATAGTGTTTATTGTCGATCGCTGTGTAGGTTAATTTAATGGTGTCTACCTAACTTATTGAGACTTACCTATATCAAATAGTTTTAATCCTAGGTTCGATCCCAGCCGAATCAGTTTTGATGAAGATATTGATCTTTGGCTCTTGTTTGCTCGCGGAATGGCTTGCCACCACTCGTCTCCGAAAAAATCCATTGTCTGGCACCTATTATCGTAACACAAGGAAGCATGTAATGTGTTATTATTTTATCTCCACGTTAATTAATTGTGTAACATTGTGTATGCATTTAAAAAAATCTTACATAAATGCATTAAAAATATGACGTACAAACTTTCGAAATATTTACGTGGTTAGGTACAATTATTTAGAGTCGGTTATGCAGGTATGGAATTTAAAATGCGGGTTTAGAATTTTAAACAACAATTTTGTTATCAGAACTATTTATTGTTAAGTGCCACATTAAGATTTTAAAATGTACATTATTGACCTCAATTTTATTTCAATTGATGTTGGTTCTGTTAGCGGTGTGTGAGAAAAATAATATTGAATTTAGTATTAATTTTGTGCAATAATTTAGAACTTCATTGCACATAAAGCAGTTTTTAGAAATCCTGGAAATAATGGAAATATACGAAAATGTACAGATCAGATCAGATAGGTATTATCTAAAGTGCTAAAACAATATTTATATTGACCACACTTTAAACATAAAATATACGAAAATGTACAGATCAGATCAGATAGGTATTATCTAAAGTGCTAAAACAATATTTATATTGACCACACTTTAAACATAATTTGGTGTGGATTCTGTGTGTGGATTGTACACTTCATTATTTATTTTAAGACAAGGCCGCTTTTGCATGACGATGATGCACATACATACATGCAACCACATGCAACTGATAATTGATTTGTTTACCAATTATTGACCAAATACAAACAAAACAATGTGAGGTAACCTTGTCTTTTCTCCATTGCGAATTTGCGATACTCTCGGAAATGCCACCAGAAATTAGTACAACAGGGTCTGATTAAGAAATAAATGCACACTTGAATGTTAAATAAGTACTCGTAATTTTACATTTTAACTCCTTGTGTAATCTTAGGCTTATGAACTGGGTTCAATGTTCATTTGTTTCCGTAACTGAGAATTTGAAATGGATCTAATTAATCAAATAGCACTAAGTTAACTAGAATACTCAATCCACTTGCCATGCAAATGATGCAAATTGAACCACCTCGCGAATTGCGGGTTACAAGGCTAAACCGCTCTCCTAGTCCAATCTAACAAGTTATAATAACTACTATGTACTACATAGTTTGTGTATGTTCTTCCTACTTGTGGAATCTATTTTGTACATTATTAAAACAAAATTGATAAAAATTGTTCAAAATTACCTACATTACATAGGTAATGCTCCTCACTTTAAGCCTTCAATTTGCTCACGGCCAGTTAGTTATCTTTAAAATATGAACCTAAAGTGATAGGACTGGCGACAACTTGGAGGGTGAAAACAGACCATTTTGCAGAGAAAATCTCCAGAATTTTCCTTTAGAAAAGTCATGATTTTCCGGATTTATTCTTAAAATGGGTAATGTTACAAACCACATATTGTGCCATAGATTTCGTTGATTCCATCAGCTAATCAGTCTACAGGCGTTTCTTAGCGATGTTGTACCTAACAAAATTATTTTTTAATCCTGTGTCATTTAACCAGTGGGATTTTTAGGCTATAACAAGTTTCTACTCCGCTTGCATCTTGTGAATCGTTTTAGCCATTCGTCATTCATAGTTATAATCAAAAAGTAATTAAGGAGGATACTTTCCAATATTCTATGATGTCATTTTTAAGTAGCATTGATGTTAGACGGGAAATAAAGAAATGTTTTTCCTCGGAATGAAAAATGCATTAATGACGAATACGTAATTTCCTCAATTAAGTACGAAATAAATCTTATGTCATTTTGAAGTAAGAAAGAGTTTTAGATAAAGACTTAATTAATTACTAATTAGAAATTGAAAGAAAGCGTTCTATTTACTACTTCTGTCGTGTAGTTTTCCCACAATCAATCCATCATTGATTCTTATGACACCATGTTGATTATTTTACGTGATTTGCCTTAATATTTTAAAAATCTTTGCCAAGTACTGAATAATCTCTATTATAAAATTAGCCAAATGGGGTTTTAGAAACCGCGAAACCAAATTATTTTTATTTTTTTAAATAGATATTTTTTAATGTTTTTTTCCTATTTAATTTTCAAGCATAGGATATCGGAAACAATGGTGTTTTATGAACCTATGAAAATAGCGAGATAAAGGGAGTTAAAAAAAATCTATTAGGTACTGGTGCGTTTACTTTAGTTATCTTTTTAGAACTTAAATACTTTAATTGGCTACGATGATGATGACGATAACTTAATCATTCGATCGTCTTTTTCTTTGACGACGTTGTTGACGTTGTGGTACAAACTGGTTTCATATTATTTCCAGGTATATGTAACTAATGTTAAAAGTACCTAGGAACTAAGCGTGGGTCGCCTAAGTTTGGCATTGACTTGACTATTACCAAATAAGAGTGGGCTTCCAACATCATAGGTTACGTAAAGAGAAAATGGGGCCGAAAGGTTGAAGCGACGATGTTGCATACCAAGTTAAATTACGTGTATGGCGTTTGTATCAGCTAAATCCATGTCATCCAACTTCTAGACCATAATACTAGTTACAACACCATGTACTTAATCAGAAGACTGCAGGAATAGATTAAAATAAACCAAAAGAAATACTCCTTTCCAACTCTCGTTCCCACTGCTGAAACTCTTGTGTAGCCTGAATATCTAAAGCTTTATTAACTGCTTATAAAAACCTCTTCAGATTACACCGATAAGTAAAGAAATTGGACCCGCAACGAAATTTATCAGAAGAAAATAGGAGGATTTTTAATTAAAATATATTTTTTTAATTTATTTTCGTTGTGTACTTGATTTGCTGTCGCAACTTGAAACCAAAACATACATTTTGAACATTTGCAGTTGCGTCAGTTATACCTAGTTGCTTCGCCTTAAATAAGTAGGCAAAGGCACTGAACTGAAAACTGCCTAAGATGCCCACATGACCCATGCAAAAATAACAAATGAATAGCAACATAGAGGACCTTCTTTTGTTTATGTACAAGTAACAAAATAAATAAATAAATGTCATCTATTTAAAGGTCAAACCAGCATCCAGGGCATGCATCGTCGGAGCTGGCTACTCAGGGCTGGCCACGGCCCGGTACATGAAGGATCAAGGGCTGAACTTCACGGTATTTGAGGCCACTAAATACGTGGGAGGCACCTGGAGATTTGACCCCCATGTCGGCACTGACGAGGATGGTTTGCCTCTATTCACCAGCCAGTATAAAAATTTGAGGTGGGTAAAGTACATGGACGACAGCACATCAAGCTTACACTGACATCTTAGAATCGTGGAAGCGAAATTTTCAGTATGGCCGCAGAATAAAATACTGTTTCCTTATGCTTCAACCACACCAACGCGTGGAGATCATCATAGGGAAGTGACATTGGCCTTTGATCGCGCCGGCGATGGCGATCTGCACGCGTTGGTGTGGTTGAAGCTTTAGTTCAATTTTCCATAGGTAGCATAATATGCGCTGCACGTCAACGATTTGGTTGGATGGTCAATGTTGTTGATGCTGTCGGTGACTCCATAGTGGTTTTTATTGTCCTACTTCCTTTTAGGAATGTTTATTTATTTAAGACACAAAGACTATTCTTTTTACGACACCTTTTTATACTTTGACGCATAAAAAAACTAAGATGTATAGGACATCTAACTTGGAAACCTACCTAACTTCTAGTGTGTCAAGTTTACAAGACATTTACACTTTGCACAAGTGAATTTGGAGATAACTGATTATAAATCTCCCAGTTAAGTGTGTGTAAGTATCATAACAGACATGGGAGTTAGATAACCAAACTTTCTGAACGTCAATCGAGGAAACTGGTTTATTATCGTTATGAAATTACCAGAACACCTATATTCCAACCAGTTATTTTCTAGTTCATCTTAAGCGACATTTCCGAGTACTGACGTGTTGATATGATAAGCAAGTTTATTTATATCTTTGTTACTATGAGCCGGAAGTAAAGGTTTAAANTAGTAAGTCCAATTTAAACAAGGTTTAAAAAACCAAAAATACCTTACACATTTATTAGCGTTGTTAAATGCTCAATTTTCCTGTTGGCGCTCGGTATTTTTTCTCTAGATGTTGCACAGAACTATTTGTTACGGTTAAAAAACCGTGTTTTTAAAAGCTTTTAAATGAGCCTTGAGTAGCGTGGGCAGGCCTCCTACTAGGAGGAATGACGATCTGGTGGCGTGTAGAACCAGGATGCTGGCAGCGCAGGCCTTTGTCCAGCAGTGGACGTCAATTGGCTGAAACGAACGAAATGAGCCATTGATCAGCAGTAGACGTGGTTTGGTTGAAATGAACGAAGTAAAAGCTTTTGGCTTGAACTTTGCTGAGAACCACTATAACAATGTAACGTTTAGTCTAGAATCCACGACTACCGTAACCGTGACGTGTAGTTTAATGAATTCCAAACTGTATGAAGACTAACTATTCTTTCCAGGATCAATACGCCACGGCTGACTATGGAATACACAGGATTTCCCTTCCCCGAGGACACCCAGTCCTACCCCACGGGAGAATGCTTCTATAAGTACCTGAAGCTCTTCACCAAGGAGTTTGATCTCTACCCATATATTCAGGTAAGAATTGAAATCTTATTTTCCTTTTAATTTTTTTTATTATCTGGCATAGTAAACATGTGTTGTGATAGCATCTGTTGTTTATGAAAGCTTTTTCCCGCTGCGTGGATTTCACTGTTTCAAAGAAAGCCTCTACTACATACTTACTTAAATACTTATCTTACTCATATTATATCGCGCGTTGGGAAACAGAAAACTTGTAGTTAATATTATGTTTATTTATGTCTAAAGGACAATGACCAAAAATGTATGGAGTGTGGTCCAAATGTCCACCACTAACGAGACCTATGTAGTAAAATAGTCTACTAAATACTGATTCATTATAACCAAACCGCAATAAAAAATATGCCGTCAGTAAAAAGTTATGACTGAATGAAAAGTCATGTTTTTTACCTTTTCATCCGAAAATTGTTCTTAATATCATTCTATCCATAGCATATTTTGGACTAATCTACGTATGTTATGTCATGTCGCATGTGGCACGGGTTTATAGATGAATTTCATTAAATATTATACTAGCTGTGCTTACGACTTTGAACGCGTGAAAATATTTTGAATAATATTTCCCATTTTGACAACATTTGTCTTTACTGCTCCGCCCCTATTGGTTTTGGGTGATGTTATATAACCTAAAACCATCCTTGATAAATGGGCTATTCTTACCAAATTTTTTTTTTCAAATCGGACCAGTAGTTCCTGAGATTAGCGCGTAAACTACTACAATTTTTTAAACAGTCATAACTTTTTACTGACAGCTTATTTTTTTTTCGTCCCATACTGAAAGTTAATCTCTATTTAATGGACTATAAGCCAATATAGCTCTCATTAATGGTGGACATTTGGACCACTTTTGGTCATTGTCCTTTTACTAAATAAACTAAAGCTTACATCAATATTGCTACTAGGTAATTTTAGAATAGCCAAAAGTGATCTATGCCAAAAATGTCTACTATTATGCCTAGGCTTTTCAAGCATGTTATTCTTTTAATAGAAGGTAAAGTTATAATTTGTAAGTAAGTACCTAACTATTACATACATGTTTATTCTATTCAAAAGATAAATCTAATAAAGCTTCCGTTCACACTCTGAAAGGATATTGCTTGAACGTGCTAAGAACACAAATAAATCTAATTCACTATCGGTACCTATTTATTCATCGGTTTTATTTTATTATAGTACTTAGTTTGATTAACGATTGGAGGATTCTATGGCAAAGTGGTTAAACTTTATGACTATCAACAAAAACCTTGCGACCATGACTAAGCAAGTTTTGTTAAATTATATTGGCGTTCTCTGATATTTTATCAATTATAGTAGGTACAAATAAATAAAAATAATATGAGAAAAATTAAAATCTTTCGACATTACATACGAGTAAGTAATAATATCTTATAGGGGTAACTTAACGGGACTAACAATAATATTTATACATATGTATGCTGAGTTGCACCATCTTACTTAAACTTTGACAAACGTCCAAAATCTGTCAAACTCCATACAAAAAGCACCGGTTAATGTTATTGTTACGATTAAAATAAGGCCTTAACAATAAAGTCCAGTGTTAAAAATTGTCTGTCGTGAGCAAAAGCCAATTGGCTATAAGACAAGCATATTATATCACGAATAGCAAATTATTTTAATAGATACGTAAGCCTTGCCAGTATTAACAAAGCAGTAAATTGGTAATTGCAACAATGCATCATAGAACCATGAGAAACCAGTTCTATTACCGGCAGTGCCATAAACATCGGTTCAGTTCTATGTATTAAGCATTGGATGCTGAACCGGTAGACATTTTTGCATAATTGTATGTACAGTTCGCGTGTCAATGAACAGCCTTTGCGGATTTTCTAACTGCAAACTGAATATGATTTATTAGTGGCTTTAAAGGCACCAGAGACCCAGTTATATCTTAGAGTTCATAATATACATACTCGTAGTTACGCCAATAAAATCAATTTAAAATTGCTTTTTCGTGGTAAGTAAAAAAGTTTTTTCGTGGGCTCCCCCGTAACCGTCTTTTTCGCGGACTTTCCGTAATTTTTTTCGCGGAGTCTTGTCCGATCCGGTTTCACTACTTTGATTCGATACAGCTTTTAAGGAACTATATCGACGGACAAAAATGTTTACATTGAGGATAGTCTTCGTCTGCGTAGGCCTTACACAATTCAACGGCGTTACATATGTATTAGGATCTATTCTTGGCATACGAGCAACTTACCTACTTCAAGATAATAAATATTGTGATGGTGAATAAAAGCTTAAGTATTAATTTAAAATTATTCTTAGTTCAGGAGCCTGGTGACTTCGATAAAGTGGGCCGACGGTCAATGGAACGTCACATACACGAAGGTTGACACGAAGACCAACCACACGGAACAGTGCGACTTCGTAACCGTGGCCAATGGGGAGTTCAGCTCCCCAGTTTGGCCCAACTTTGATGGACAACAAGACTTTAAAGGTAAGCTTACGAGGGGAATCCCATGTTGCAGTTTGTTTTATTCGTTTTTAACTAAGCATTGATATTTTAAAAAAAGTTAGATATTAAAAGTTTTAGTTAAGTTTACCTACTTTGTGCCTTTCTGTGAATCTTTTGCATAAATAATTATTTCTATTTTCCGTTATATTTATTCGACCGCGTGTCTTACTCACCGATAATGTTTCAAAAATGAGATTTTTAATCGATTCCCAAAAGATTCGTCACATTAGTGATAGATTAATTACAATCTCATTAAGGTAAAGCCGAAAATTCATCACCATACACGAATTTTCTGCTATAAAATACTACTTTTCTTAAAACAATTTTGTTTTTATCTTTCCAGGAAAGATGATACACAGCCACGATTACAAAGACCCGGAAGACTACAGGAATCGTCGAGTGTTATTAGTGGGTGCTGGTCCTTCAGGTCTGGACCTGGCCATGCACTTGTCCAACGTCACTTCTAAACTGGTCCACAGCCACCACCTCAAGTACAACCAGCCCTACTTCTCTGAAACGTACGTGAAGAAGCCAGACATCAGGATGTTCACGTCCAATGGAGTCGTGTTCCAAGATAACAGCTTTGAAGAAGTTGATGATGTTATCTTTTGTACAGGTGAGTTTTAACGGTAACCTAAAAGCCTTCAGCTGTCTTTGAAGGCGTTAGTCGCTTTTGGTAGAGTCATTGCAGATGCACATTTAGCATAAAGGTCAATAGATTAAGTAAAACTTGGAAGAAAAAATCTATTTTTATTGTTTTTCAGGGTATGACTTCACGCATCCATTCTTGGACAAGAGTGTGGGGATCACAGCAACAGGCAAGTTCGTGCTGCCCCTCTACCAGCACACAATCAACATTCGCCACCCCACCCTGGCATTTGTGGGGGTTTCTAAGAAAATCCTCAATAGCGTGTTAGAGGCGCAGGTATGTCCCATATTCTCTCACTAGCTTTTGCCCGCGGTTTCACCCGCGTGAAATTTAGTTTGTCACAGATCGTCATAAATTTTTTTTTTTTTTATTATGCTAGCCAAGGCAGGTATTTGACCGCAATCGCACCTGGTGTTAAGTGAGATGCAGTCTAGGATGGTACATACCTGCCCTGTAAGTGCCTATTCACTCTCGCCTTGAAAACGCCCGGATTATAGTGTTCAGGAAATACAGCAGCAGGCAGCGAATTCCAAAAATTATAGCCTATATGTTAATCTGGGTTATAAACAGTAATACTGTAAAGTTTCAACAAAATCCGTTCAGTAGTTTTTGTGTGAAAGAGTAACAAACATCCAGACATCATGACATCCAAACTTTCGCATTTATTTATAATATTAAGTAGGAAGTAGGATTAGTACCATAAATGCCTAAAAAGTATCAGTTAATGTTAATGATCGAACTTGAAATCGCTGCATATGTAGGGGAGAGTGGGGTAAGACGGGGTCCTTAACGTTTGATGGTAAATAAAATTGACCGTAAAGAGTTTTAATCTTCTTCGATAATCAGTCTTCATTGTTAACGTGTAATTTGGCAGTCTAATCAACATAATAAAATTTAAAAAACCAAAAAGTAGAAATACACCCTTATCCCCATCATGCCCCACCCCTAGGGTAAGATGGGGTACCCCCGTGGGTAAGATGGGGTACCAATAAGAGGGCAAGATGGGGTATGTCAGCAAACGACTATTTACTGTTCACAATGTTCACAAGTGAACACGGTATCTGCATCTTCGTCATCTAAACCTGCACAGCTGCAGTAAGCCCATTTGCCACATGCTGAACAAGCAACCCAACCTTCATTTGAGTCCAAATATAGGCCTTTACAATACAAACAAGGTGTATTTTCAGCATTGCTGTCACTATTCTCGTGTAATGATCTATTCTTAGCCCCTTTTTTCTTCTTTGTAACTCTTTTCTCCTTAGTTGCAGGTTTTTTAGAGATTTTNTTCCTCGTTGTGGATAAAAAAATGTTCTGTTCAGTTATTGTCTTTAAATGTGTTCTACATAACGTAAACTTAGAGAATTGCAATCATTAGTTAGTCCTAAGAAAGTTAAAAACATGTAACGGAATCTCCGACTTACCACTTTAGTGGAGCGATTACAGAAAATAATGGCCTATTAAGTACATGTTTTTTTGTGTTATTATGAAAGTTCAGAAAACTGCGCAGTTTTTAAAATTATTTTGGACCTATGGAATTTCTTTTTTTTTTAAACTTTTAAGTTGAAAATTTTAGGATGTTCCGCTAAAAGCATATTTTTTTATGTTTCTAGCAAAAATTTTGTATCTTGCATCAAATACAGGAATTTGATAATTTTTTTCAAAAATCTGCAATTAATAGGGAATCTGTCAAAAAAAAGAAATCTGAGAAAAGTCGACCCAAAAAAAAGATAAAAAAATTTAAAGCCTACTGGGTCATACAATTTGAAAAAATCACAAAATTGACGATAACTTCTTAACTATGAAAAATCGTAGAACATACATGGGGGTGAAATCGATAGGTCTAGTCCTCACCTATCACCTGCCTTCGGCTTGACACCTTACAAGAAACACCCTGTATATCAGTTTTGCATCCTATATTCCTAAGTGCAGCAGTGTCTCTGAATTGTTTGCCTATTTGCCAAAAGCAAACCTTTTATTTATTGCAATAACGTAGGAAGAAAGAAGCATTATAAAACTTTTTTGCGAACTCTTAAGAAATGCCCCACTAATTAATTCCCCTGAGGAGTTTTACATTCTTTTTAAGAAAAGGAATAGATTTATATGGCTTTGATTTTATGCTCTGCTTTTAGGCTGAATACGTAGCAGCATTAGCAGCGGGCAATTTCGAGCTGCCACCGCAGGAATCAATGCTCAAGATCTGGCTCACACACGTGCTCACGCAAAAGGCACGAGGCATGCGACTGGTGGACGTCAACGTCGTTGACAATGATGCGGTAAGACCAAAGAATTAAGCCTAGGTTTTATAGTGGAAAAGTTTTTCTGCTGAGGAAAGCCCGAGGAAAGAAAAGAAGGAATTCGGGAGTAAAAAGTCTGCAAAGACCTACCTATCCAAGCTAGAAACTAGAGCGATTTTCGATTCGTGTCTTCTTTGACCAGAAATTGTATAAACCAAAGATTTTTCTGGAAAGCCCCTTCTGGCATAAAAAGTCTGAAAAGTCCTCTCCAAGCTAGAAACTAGTAGTGAAATTCACTTCGTATCTTGTTCCTCATGGAAATTTGCATCGGCGTAGATCTTTCTTTGAGTTCTATATAGCTGTACTAGCGGCAGCCTGCGACTTCCTACGCCTGAACCCCGTTTTATCCCCTTAGGGGTGGAGTTTCGTATAATCAGTTCTTTGCGGATGTCTACTACACATACCTACACCCTATAAGGAACCTACTTGCTAGTTGTTATAGTTTCTGAGATTTCGTGATTAATCAGTGAGTGGTATTTCATAACATTCTATTTACCATTCCAGGATGATTACTTCGCCAACATGACAGCCGAGGCTGGCATCCGGCGGCGTCCTCCGGTACTGAGTGACATTAGGCAGTTCAATGCCAGGTACCGTCTGGAGGACTTGCTGAACTACCGCGACTTCGACTATCAGATAGTGGACGACCACAACTACAAGCGGTGGTATAACCCGAGGAAGGGAAATCCTTGCCCTTTTGAGGACTAAATAAACTTGATATTTGTGGAACAGTCAAGTGAGATTGTTTATATAGGGTGTCATAGAAATTGGGGACAACACTCCTGTCACATATTCTAAATCGTGGTGACCAAATTTTGTTCTATGACTTTAAAAAAATATGCATTGATGTATGTATTTGATTGTTGTTTATGATTCTAGTTAAATAATGACTGTTTCTGTGCTGCAGTGTGTGATAGTATTTTTTTCGTATTTGACAGCATAATTCGTTATGAAAATTAAATTGCTACTAAGTAGTGTGGTAGTAGGTAAATAGGCACCAAGCTTTACTTAATTCCGTCCTTATGTTCGAATAATGTAACTTTATAATAAATAGGTAATTAGTATTTTGATTGAGTTGATGACAAAGTTATTGATATTCTTGACAAATTCGATATTGTAACTAATTATTTTATAGCCTTTTCAAATTTTTATATAACTGGCTGTAGAGTATATTTTACTTATTAATAATTTTGTAAATACATAGTTATCTATTGAATGCAATTCTATTATTTCTGCTCTCTACTTAACAACGTAATTAATAGTTACTTATTTTATTTTATACACATTTATACCTAGAATAACTAGTTAACTAAAGTTGTAACATAAAGTTTATAAGTGTTACCAATTAATTAAGAAATAAAACTAAGTACAAATACTAAATATTTGGTTTTATTACGTATCTAGTCCGATATTTTATAAAATTAAGTGCGTATCTAAATGCAAAGTTTACATAATGCAATGTAAAAATAAATTAGAATTATTAAAACTAAGTAATTAATTCATATATTATTTTCATAAATGTCAAGTTTTTCATAAACTAAACACCGACATTCTCATTAATTGAAAGTTGTTTAGAGGAGAACGTTTAAAATATTGTGTTGTTCCTAGTTATGTAAAAAGTCTGTGGTTTGATCACATTATTTAAGTGGGTCATTCCATAAAAATCTGTATATTTTCGACGTCATTTTGTCCGTGACTTTTTTAAGATGCTTTTGAATACTTTATTAGTGTAAATTATAGGTTATTAATTAATTATGTTATGTCTAAAAGGGCCAGTCACTTTATGCTTTATTAAAGAAGAGAAATTATAATTTTCAATTTTTTCATACTACATTACTCCTATATGACTTCTAATAAAGTATAAAACTTATAACCTTAACATTTACAGATAAGTTAATATACATAATGTAGTTGTTTTGTTATTATCACTATACAAAAAACATCATTCCCTAACTAGTAATTTAGTCCCAAGTGCCGTGTAAAGCTAGGGCCTGACGCTCTAGGGACTGACGATTTGGAGTATCGTACCTACTTTAAACTCAACTAAATGTCATTCACTCTAAATACATATTAAAGCGCAAAATTATAAAATCAGTGCGTGGCGAGGGAATGACGCTAAAAGCTGTAGACCATTTTTCAACTAAAGAAAATCAAATTATTGTTTATTGAAACCGCAAAATATTAATAGAATTTGATGTAATATACATTTAAATACATTATTCGTTAATTAAAATAAAGGATAAAGTTGATGTTTTTATAAATGTGGGTCCCAAAACACAAACTTTTGGAGTACGGAAATGCCTAGGGAATGACGTTTTGGGTCGTTCAAAAGTAATTTAAGATGTTTTAAAAATAGTTTCAAAAAATATAAATGGGTGATGAATAAAGCACATTGCGAGCTGTTATTTAACAATTTTGGAATAAAATATTAACAAATATTTCATGTGAAATGTGGCGCGGACTAAGAGTTGACATATTTTTGTGGAATGACCCAAGTAAGTAAATTAAATACCTAGTAATTTATTTTATTTATGAAGTACTTGTGCAGTCTATATTTTTCGGACTGTCTTCATGTTCAAGTAGTATTTTTTCATATGTATCCCTATCCAAAATTTTGTAAGCATAATTTCTGTACGTATACAGATTTTCTAGCATCGATTGCATATTCATTGTGCGGATTTTGTAAAATACCGGCGGAACTCTCTCTATTCCAGATTCTTCTGTTAGTGCAGCGTAGTATTCATCCTAGAAATAAATAACAAATGTTAAAAATGTACAAAATTAAACTTATGTACCACTATTCGTCTTAGCACAGTGAGATAATGCGATTTAGAAAATAATGTACCGTCGGAATTGGAATTGGAAACCGGAATCCCTGGGAATCGGTATTGGTAGGTTATATTTTGTGTAATTCCGTTAAATGTTAAAAACACTCAATATTGTAATCTAGGGTTTATTTTGTCACATTAATTTTCAATTAAACAAAAATATTAGAAAAAAAAATTATACCGACATTTTAATTTCCCGCCAAAAAGTCCACGGTTTCTTTCTATGAAGTGTGTTTACGAAGACAGTTCTATTCGGTTTTTAAAGTGGCGCTGTGCGGTCCGAATCGTACATATTATACATTGTTTATCCTATTATTTGAAAAGTAAAATAAAAGTGAAATAATACAGATGTGACAAAAACACGTGTGTAACGTGCATTGTATCAAACTTACTTCTTTATAAGCTAGCAAATGTATGTGAGACAGTGGTCGGCCAGTTGACCGAATAACATCGTATTGCCTCTGCCAATCACGCATCATTACTTCTTGGGGTGGAAGTGTAAAGTCACCTTTGATAAGAGCTGTAGCATATCGAGCCTACAAAGTAAATAAAATATGATAAACAAAAAATAATTTGCCACTAACCAAAAATAAATAATTAAAAAGAAAAGTACCTGAGCATCCAGTGCCACTACTAAGCAAGCCCGGACGACTAAACCCATGATAAGCATTGTAGGTTGATTTATATTAACTAAATATCTGTATAATGGAACAACACTGTGTGCAGAAATGTTTAGTCCACTACTCTCATCCAAAAATGGATAGTGATATTCGTAACCTGTAAAAAATGCAAAGGTAAAATGCAATTATTTATAAGAAACAGAAAGTAATCAGCAAGATGTAAGTATTTAAATCTATCATATTGCCATTTAAAATAATTAAATTACCTGTACAATAAATTACATCGTCAATGTCTTCATAGGTGCCATCGGTAAAAATGACTCCTGTGCCATTAAACTCCTTGATGTCTGGTTTCTTTATGTAGTTTTTGGGGAAAGGTGTTCGAAAGTCGATTTTTGAGTGATGGCTATGAACAAGGATCTTGCTGACGTAAGCTACATCTAGACTAATATCCATCCCTGATGGTCCGGAACCGACAATCAAAACTCTCCGACAAGTATACGTTTCAGGAACTCTGTAGTCATGACTATGTATAATTGTTCCTGAAAATGATCAAATCACAGTAACAACCAATCATCAATATGTGACGAACTCTATTAGTCATTTATTTAACGAAGAAAGTGATTTTACCTTTAAAAAGATGTTCTCCTGGAAAAATAGGTCTATGTGGCTTACTATGATGCCCTGCTGCGACTACAACATATTCAAATTCTTCTTCAAATTCGTTTTCGGTTGGAATGTGTTTGTATTTTACCCTCCATATATCATCAATTTTCTTTACTGATGTTACATGATGTTGGAACTGCAAAAAAAAAACCAAATATGTTTAAAATTGAAAAAAAAAAGTTACTAATGCTGTATATTCAAAAACAAATAAATAGAATGTTACCTTTATATGCTTGTAGAGGTCAAAATGTTCAGCATATGATTTCAAGTAGTTATAATAATTCTCCCAAGGGGGATAAGAAGGAGTGTCCTTAGGCATTGGAAAATCGTGCAGTTCCATGATAACCTTTGGTAGATTTGTCCTGGAAAATAAGCAAAAATGTATAAATAGATCATTAAAAAACACACCTTTTTATTTACATTTCCCAAAATAAGTTGTCTATCGTTTCGCTTCAAACGAAAGAGAAAAAGAAAGAAACAATACTAACCTTAAATGTTTGTACATGCTTGTGTGTATCGGCTGTCCATATTCATCTTGCCCAACTCGTTCATCGTATCGCCACGTGCCACCAACATATTTTGTACTTTCTAGAGCCGTAAACTTTATATTTTCCTTTATTAAGTAGCGAACAGTTGATAATCCTCCAACGCCAGCTCCAATTACACACACTCGAGGAGAACTTGTTACCTTAAAAATGAATTGAAATCACACATTAAAATTTATAATAAGCAAAATTTCTAGGGGTCTATTTCGGACCGTATCCTTAGATGTTGAGTCAAATGTAAGATAAAAAAAATCAACATCAAGTTTAAATTATTTTTTTAATCAAATTTTAAATTACTTAAATAGTAGGTACTACCAATAAATCCTGAATAAAATAATTATTAAAACTATTATTATTATGTTCAAACTGAAGCAAGCTCCGTAAATGTTTCTATTTTTTTTTTGACAAAGTTTATTCATGGTCACTAGGATGTAACGATTGTAAACAAAGAGGTAGAGTCTGTAAATAGGAAAAATAAATCACACTCGTAGCCCGTAGTACAGTAATTTGTAAGTAGTATACTTTCTTTTACCAGCTGATTACAAAAATATTTCAAGGTCATGAACTGAACTTGATCATTAAAACCGTATTTTTTCAATAATTCGGTTTAGGTTTGTCCAATAGGTTATGGATATCAATTATTATCTTACCATTTTATTTTTGTTGCTGATATTAAAATTGACGACTCACTACTTCTGTTGATTACGAAATACTGAGTAACAAAACACAGTAGATAAGATTTGTCTTAAAGGATGATGGGCATATTGGGCGTTAAATCAACAGAAACAAAAAGTATACTAAATTAAAGCTTAATACTAGTACTTCATTTCATAGTATGACAACGATCCTGAAATACGCGGGGATACGGAGATAGAAGTCGATGAATATGCAAAGTTTACAAAGTATTTCACATCACATTAGAGTAATAAAAATAGTATTAGGTCAATTAGATTGCTTTTATCGATCATATTGAGAGTATTGTATCATATCTTACTATCGATTCTATCGATTTAGTAAGTATGTATACCGAATAAATCATAATCGATTATTCGATTGCAATAATCGATTATATTGCTTAAAATAAGGAATTGAATTAACAATCAAATGATAGTAATGATGGTAATCAATAAAATCGATTAATCGAATTGTTAATCGATAAATCGTTATTTGGCAATATCGATTAATAATCGATCCGTGATCGATTATGCGACAACACTACAACTTAACTGGTAGAAATCCCATTGAAACATGACTGTGTTCATGTCATTTCTCTAAATGGTACCTAACTATGGTCCTACTCTCATAATGTAGAACATGGTTTAAATATACCATTTGTTGGCCCCACTCCTGAACTGTTGGACATAATAATGGATAAATAACTTAATGTATTTAAAATGTAAGTAGATAAGTAAATTAATTAATAATATTTTTTGATTGCGCAATAAAGCACCTATTACTATTACACATTATGTCAATTTCCAAGCAAACCCGGGAGTTTTTGGTAGTTATTTATATGAAAATATATTTCTGACATTAAGTCCTAACAAATAATAGTAGTTACATTTCTGTTGGTTTTACGCCCAGATTCCATAGAAAAGTGCCCATCATCCTTTTTATCTACAGTAAAACAAAACTGACAGTCGTCGTCCGGACATTTACGAGGATAGTTTAATAATATATAATGTAAGCGGTACGGACAAAGCAACGGAAAGAGTTAATTTGTTACTTACTTATCAGTCTGATATGATGTTCCACAGCTGTTTTTATACAATTATTATAGGTATTATAGACAAGCTTTTACCTATCTAGTAATTGTTTAAGCCACTGAGTTTAACCAGTCGCACTTATACAGGGTGATTTTGTTATCAGTATCCAAATTTTTTTAATAAGCTCTATAGAACAATATAAAATTATACAACTTTATTCTTAATCCCGGTATTGGATTTTTCGCAGTATTTTTCGCGGTATCTTAATTTTGAAAGGTTAAGGTTTATTTTCAAGATTTGTAGTAAACTGTGTGTACGTATTTTTCTATGAACGAAGCAAATTATTATCCACGTGAGCCAATTTTGAAAATAATTAAATATAAAAAAATGATTTCTTTACGTATTACGTAACAATCAGTTACTGATTCTGAGTCGCTCTTAAAAATTTAGATACTGATATTTTGGCTACCGAAGATTTGCACACTCGTCTACTTACCTACTTATTTTGTTTACTGTTTAGCTAATTTATTGATTCATAATTTTAGGGTCCCGTGCCTTAAAAGGTACAAAGGAACCCTTATAGAATCACTCCGTAGACAACTCATTACACTTTACATTAAATAATAAATAACTATCTTGCTTATAAATTAAGAAATAGTTTTTGGTGTTTTAACATCCTACATGATTTGATTACAGAGCTTTTAACATACAACAGAATAAGCTAACAAAGAGAAGATAAGATATTAATAAAAGATAAATCAATAGAACTAGAAGTTCTCGAGTGGCGACCACGGGCCGGAAAACTTAGGTGTGGGCCGACTAGGTGGACCGACGATCTGGTGAACACCGCGGGACGTGTCTGGATGCGGGCGGAAAAATAAATGAAAAATTCTAAGCTCTTTTGTTTTAAAATAAATTGACATTTGTTGAAAACAGTTGCATATCCTCGAACAAAGCTGCAAAGTCAGAGATGTAAAACTTTTTGTAAGAATGTTAAATCTAACACTTACCATTAAAATGAAGCTTAATTGAAACAACACACATAAAATTAACACACACTTCATTTTAAAACAGATTTTTAGCATTTATAATTAACTTCGATCACCACATGTCCGCGATTGATTACACAACAGAGCAGAATGGCTTTATCCTATGAGTTCAATATCGTTTATCAGTGGCAGATGTATTATGATGCGGTCAATGTTTTGACCCCCACACAGTTTTATTGACCCATACACAGTTTTCGGCTCAGTTGCACCATCTTACTTTAACTTTGACAATCGTTAAAAATCTGTCAAACTCCATATAAAAAGCACCGCTTTTGTTATTGCCTACGGTTAAAATAAATTGGTGCAACTGAGCCTTAGATGCGAATCTATTTGAACCGTAATGTGCCAAACCAGCGATAGGATATCATTAAGAATACGTGACTAAGTAAGTATGTGGATATTGGAAAATAATAGAGATAATTAACTACAGCGATTAATTTCACCGGTCGAGAATCTTCTGTCAATAAGTCAATTTAAAAAATGTTTTAATACCAACAATNAAGTTACTCCATTTTTTAAGCTTCCGTCGCGTGTGCAGCCTTAAGCCTAAACGGCTAAACGTATGCACTTTAAATTTAGAAGGGACGTAGCTTAGGTAACGTAGAGGTGCACTAAGAAAGGAATTCCCGAAATTCCCACGGGAACGGGAATTAGCGGGAAAATCCTTTTGTATGAAAAATCTAAACCGCTTAAGTTAGGCGCTTGAAATTTGGCATGCAGGTACCTTAGTAAACTTAAAGCTTAGTTACTATAGGATATTGCAAAATTCCCACGGGAACGGGAGTTAGCGGGAAAAAACATTTGTATGAAAAAACCTAAACCGCGTAAGATAGATGAACGGTATCCACGCGTACGAAGTCACGGGCCTATGGAGCGAAATTGAGATTTATGGACATAGCGATTTTTTTCACAATTTCTATTTGAAAAAAATACCTATCGATAGGTTACGTTATTCTGATGAATAAATGCTTCACAAGTTTTTCTCTAAAACCAATAGTTTGACTGGAAAAAAATATTTTCCATTTTCGTTGTATGGAATGAAACATAAAGTGGTCGATTTCGACTAAGCATTGACAGATCTTGCTTTGAAACTACNCCAACAATTTATTGACAATGGTTTTATGCTTCGAAAGACCCACACAGTAATCTATATCTATACTTATAATAAATCTGTAGAGAGGTCAATTCTGTACATGAAATATATTTTCAAAATAACTATCAGGGGGTGATTAGTGATCGATACTGATGCCAAAAATGCAATCAGTAAAATTTTTGTCTATCTGTCTGTCTGTATGTTCCTTATAGAAACAAAAAATACTCGACGGATTTTAAGGAAACTTGGTACACTTATTCTTCATACTCCTGGGCAGGTAATAATATACTCAGGAGCAGTGTAGTGAAGGGAAATTTTGGGAAAACGGGAGAAGTTACTCCATTTTTTAAGCTTCCGTCGCGTGTGCAGCCTTAAGCCTAAACGGCTAAACGTATGCACTTTAAATTTAGAAGGGACGTAGCTTAGGTAACGTAGAGGTGCACTAAGAAAGGAATTCCCGAAATTCCCACGGGAACGGGAATTAGCGGGAAAATCCTTTTGTATGAAAAATCTAAACCGCTTAAGTTAGGCGCTTGAAATTTGGCATGCAGGTACCTTAGTAAACNTGATTTGATTACAGAGCTTTTAACATACAACAGAATAAGCTAACAAAGAGAAGATAAGATATTAATAAAAGATAAATCAATAGAACTAGAAGTTCTCGAGTGGCGACCACGGGCCGGAAAACTTAGGTGTGGGCCGACTAGGTGGACCGACGATCTGGTGAACACCGCGGGACGTGTCTGGATGCGGGCGGAAAAATAAATGAAAAATTCTAAGCTCTTTTGTTTTAAAATAAATTGACATTTGTTGAAAACAGTTGCATATCCTCGAACAAAGCTGCAAAGTCAGAGATGTAAAACTTTTTGTAAGAATGTTAAATCTAACACTTACCATTAAAATGAAGCTTAATTGAAACAACACACATAAAATTAACACACACTTCATTTTAAAACAGATTTTTAGCATTTATAATTAACTTCGATCACCACATGTCCGCGATTGATTACACAACAGAGCAGAATGGCTTTATCCTATGAGTTCAATATCGTTTATCAGTGGCAGATGTATTATGATGCGGTCAATGTTTTGACCCCCACACAGTTTTATTGACCCATACACAGTTTTCGGCTCAGTTGCACCATCTTACTTTAACTTTGACAATCGTTAAAAATCTGTCAAACTCCATATAAAAAGCACCGCTTTTGTTATTGCCTACGGTTAAAATAAATTGGTGCAACTGAGCCTTAGATGCGAATCTATTTGAACCGTAATGTGCCAAACCAGCGATAGGATATCATTAAGAATACGTGACTAAGTAAGTATGTGGATATTGGAAAATAATAGAGATAATTAACTACAGCGATTAATTTCACCGGTCGAGAATCTTCTGTCAATAAGTCAATTTAAAAAATGTTTTAATACCAACAATTTATTGACAATGGTTTTATGCTTCGAAAGACCCACACAGTAATCTATATCTATACTTATAATAAATCTGTAGAGAGGTCAATTCTGTACATGAAATATATTTTCAAAATAACTATCAGGGGGTGATTAGTGATCGATACTGATGCCAAAAATGCAATCAGTAAAATTTTTGTCTATCTGTCTGTCTGTATGTTCCTTATAGAAACAAAAAATACTAGACGGATTTTAACGAAACTTGGTACAATTATTCTTCATACTCCTGGGCAGGTTATAGTATACTCAGGAGCAGAGTAGTGAAGGGAAATTTTGGGAAAACGGGAGAAATTACTCCATTTTTTAATCTTCCGTCGCGTGTGCAGCCTTAAGCCTAAACGGCTAAACGTAGGCACCTTTAATTTAGAAGGGACGTAGCTTAGGTACCGTAAAGGTGCACTAAGAAAGGAATTCCCGAAATTCCCACGGGAGCGGGAATTAGCGGGAAAATAATTTTGTATGAAAAATCTAAACCGCTTAAGTTAGGCGCTTGAAATTTGGCATGCAGGTACCTTAGTAAACTTAAAGCTTAGTTACAGTAGGATATTGCAAAATTCCCACGGGAACGGGAGTTTAAAACATTTGTATGAAAAAACCTAAACCGCGTAAGAGATGAACGGGATCCACGCGTACGAAGTCGTAGGCGGGCCGCTAGTTATCAATAAAATTGAATGCATTTTATCACACTTCGTTGTATATTTTTTACTCAATGAATGAAATTAAAAGCAATAGAGTTGGGTAAAAAGTTAATCAATTCTATCCCTTTTTTCGTAAAACACCATCGTATAGGCAAATTTCAGTGCAATGAAAATTGCCAAAAGAGTGTCTTAGTTTGAGGATGTTAAAATTAAGTTTTATATAAAAAGTTATTACCTACTCTACAAACAAAACCTTAGTAACACAGGGTTTTACCAATTTTGATTAACTAGATTTAAATATTAAACAATATTTATTTCTCACTGGATTTCCCATACTTGTGAGTCTGATAACCTTTGGCGAGGCACAAAGAGGCAAAAATTAGATTCGCGAGGGCTGTTCACCGACAACTGTATTATGCTTTTAAATTGACCATGAAAAAGAATTTTAGTGGAGGTGGAGCCCAACGTGTAGCAGTGCAGTACATGCAAAATAAACAGAACGAATGATACTGTTTTAATATAGAGAAGAATTGTATCACTATTCATATTAAAAAGACTTAAGCAAGTTAGGTTTAATTCCACTGGTACTCGTACATATTGCCATTATTTGACTAAGATAATAAGAATTAATTAGTTCAGTGCTATTTTTATCTTATGTGTCATACAATGTTATTATTATTATTATTATAGTTATGTTCCACTGCATAATCAAACAAATAAATAAAAGANTGAAAATTCTTCGAATTTGAGGCTTGACCCGCCTCTCGCCATAGTTTAAGTCTTTTATTTTTAGTATTCACCTCTTCCGTTAAAAATAAGCGTAGCCTTGACACTGATAAGCAAATATTTGGTATCATATGGTATTCTTCTCACTTGACATCAGGTATGATTGTGGTCAAATATCTCCCTTGATCTGCACAAAAAATATTTTGTCCAGAAGTGCGGATCTTGAATAACTTAGTTAACCCTATTTCTAATGTCACTTATCTTATTTCAAAGTTTACATATTTTAGTAGGTAGATAGATATACTTGAAATCAGTATATTTATCCGTTGTTTTGGCAACTACTGTGGGACAGTCCGACCCTCTGTAGATTAGCCAGACGAGTTGCGAGGGCCACCCGAATCACCGCCCATTCACTCATCAAAATTGAAACTTGAATCATATTTAAGTTTTCCCGCTAAATTGAGTTGTCATTTTAATTTGCATTTAAAAAGTCATACATTGTTCGCATGAGGGAGGGAGAAGGTGTTTGGACTCTTACACAAAAAGTACGCAATTTTTTTACTATGATGTAAAGTTATAATGGTAAGTAATTATGAAGATTACCGGTTAAGTATTAACTTCCCGAAAACCAAGTCGTTGGGGTTTGCTATGAGTAGGTTTGCCGTAACTATAAAAATAGTATGGAGTAATTATTGTTTATCTAAATTATCTACAAATTAAACACTAGTTTCGATAAAACGCTAAATATTGAATAGCCAATTTTTATTTTTTAAACATCATTAAGTAATAACCATTACGAACTGAGTACCTATCTCCACTAATTTTTGGGACCGCATAATTAGCCATATTGATAATTTATTACTCTCTCAGACTGTACCTACACCAAAACCTGCTTCAAATCTCTAATAATACAGTTGATATTCCGTTGCTCGCTCGAAGCGTGTATGAACATTCGATTACACACGCCAACGGTCAAGTATTTATCAATTAATGGGAAATTTAATAGAGCAAGCATCCCTTTTGACGTATTAGTATGGAATGTGTCCGCATTCTCTCGTAATCAGGACGTCTGGTCGGTTCGTGCCGAGAAATTACACGGTATCCAGGCAATCAGTCGGGAAACTGGGTGTTTGGAGTAATGAAACGCGCAAGGCAATTAAGCAATGAAGAAGGTTTACATACAGAGTAATTTTGTGAAAGTGTGGGAGCTGTAACTCTGTGGATATAGGTATTCTGTGGTGTAGGGTTCGTCTTAACGCGGTGTCAAATGATAAGATGACTAAGTCAAG